TGCACTCAACCGAGTACACATACACAATTAAAAAGAAATAAATCTTTAAAAAACGAAGCAAGCATACAGTGGGCATGTCCCAAGCCAAAGGGACATCTATTACTACCAAATAGTAGAGGCGCATTCTTGGAATCACAAGGCTATGTGCAAAAACGTCTTTCCTTGGGGGCTTACTTCACCATACTCTCCATGGCTCTGTCTCCTTCCCTCTGCACTCACGGGATTGTATTTGAAAGGCACCAGCCTTCTGGCCATCGTTCACATCTTCCTTTGCCTTCCCTGAGCTAATAGCTTACTGGGCCATGTCATTCCATCAGGGTGTGAGCGTCTTATTGGCACAATGCATCATAATGACAAGGCATTTATATGATGCATCACTTCCAAGATGAAGCCATTGAAGAGGGAGTCCAAGATCAGATTATATTTAATTAGGGGAAAAAAGAATTCTCATGTGTCATTCTGGTGATAGATTAACGGAGAGAAGGAATGTGAGTGTCTTAGAAAAGAAGGGAGTGTTAGAGTAAGACACATGAATGGAGACAGAAGGCAAAGGAGACAGTGATGTACCTGGCCCTGAGGATGGTTGATCCCTTTTGTCAGCTCATTTGGATTAAGAAAAACCTAAGGGCCTGGCAAGATGGCTGGTGACTGGTGATTATGTTTGCTGCAAAGCCTTGGGACTTGCGTTTGATTCTTGGAATCCAGATGGAAGAAAAAATGACTCCTGCAGGTTGTCCTCTGGCCCCTGTGTATGAGGGCATATACGCCTGTGCATGTGCGTGCAACCCACACAGTAAAAATAAATGATGAGGCAGTAATGAGCCACACTTTTAGGTGTGTCTGTAAGAGTGTGCCCAGGTTAGTTTAGCTGTGGAGAGAAAATCCACCATGGATGTGGGCAGCACCCACCCATTGGCTGAGGCCTCTGGGTCCCCTGGTTCCTGGTGGGAGGGTAGAGCCTCAAAGCCTATACCTTGGGAGCTGCTGCTGTGGCCACCCAGCCAAGTGTATGGAAAATGCTAATTAATGCAGCCTGTCAGAAACTGCTTTAAGATCCTATAGAAAGAAAGGCAACATGTCTAAGTTTATTCAAATTTGTTCAGATATTAGACTCTCATACACTCAGGGGTTAGCTGTAGCTGCTTCATTACAGGGGATTTCAATTAAGGATGTTTTATTCCAACAAACTAATCATGGCCTAGGGAAAAGGAGGGCCAAAAGACCTCCTTGGATTTGCTTTGGGTATAGCCAAAAAGGGCACCAGGTCAGACAGTGTCTTAACAAGAAAGTCTGCAGTCAAATGTTCTACCACTGAGCTCTACCCCCATTAACAGGAAAGTCTGGTGAGCTGTGCCTCCTACAGCCAGCTCTGGGAGCTTTCGGGAAATGGCCAGAGGCAGCATGACCCATGAGCCCAAGGAGTCTGTATGGATGATTCAATAGCCTTTAGCAGAGGAGAGGATACAGAAATTCTCCTATTTTCATGGTTAAAAAAAGAAATCTAGAGAATGGAAGTTAATACAAGATTTGAGAAAAGTGAATGAGACAAAGCCTCAAAG